TCATTTCCAGTTAGGTCTTACTTTCAGGAAAATATCGTAAATGCATCCATCTGGCTGAGTTAACTGGGGGTTATTTTGGGGGTAGGGCTTATATTACAAGCATCCTAAAAAAAATCATGCTAGGGCTTATTTTCCAGTCAGGTCTTATTTTGGGGAAAACATGGCATGCCAGGTGCTTTTTGAACTTGCCCACCATAAGATGTATAGACTTCAACTCCCAGAATTTCCTAGGCTGGCAAGGAAATTCTGGGAGTTGGAAGTCTAAACATCTTAAAAGTTGCCAAGTTTATACTCTATATCAACTGCATCATGTGGGCTGTTTAGGGAACTTACTGGTTTAGGAAGCAACTTAAACTGGAATGAATACGGAAAAGAACTGTGTTGGGAGAGGAAACTGTGAATTCTAGTCCTGCCTTAGGCATGAAACCAGCTGGGTGACTTTGGGCCAATCACCAGGAGATTGTGAGTTCTAGACCTGCCTTAGGCATGGAAGTTGACTGGGTAACTTTGGGCCAATCACCAGATTGTGAGTTCTAGTCCCATCCCAGGGATCAAAGCCAGCTGCATAACTTTCAGCCATTCCCTCTCTTTTAGTCCAACTCCCCTCACATGGTTGTTGTGAGAAAAATAGGAGGGAGGAGTATTAGGTATGTCCACTGCCTTATTTATAAATAATAATAAAGGCAGGATATTAATAAATAAAATAAGTCTTTTCTAGAGTAACATGAACACAGATATACAAATACCTTTAGGATTTATATCCAATCTTATATAATTTCTGAGATATGCATATAAATGTGTACACTTGGGGGCATGGACACTGCATATTGCCAACGTTGCAAAGATTACGAATTGCAAACGATACATTCAAAATCCGCAGATTGGATTTAGGGCTGGACGACAGACGAGAGGAGAACAAGTCTCCAATGGAACGATTCATATGTCCTGAAGAAATAGGATAAAGAAGCAAACCTGGATAGTGAGGAAGACCCCAAGGCCAAGGTGGATGGACAAGGCAGAAGAAAATTATTTTTTTTTGGCATGTTAAGAGATCATTTTATTATTTGTTATTAACGCCCAAAAATAACGAAGAAAAAAACCAAGAGCCCAAGTGAGATGCGGAACAAAGCATATTCACAATGAAAGCAAAGCCAGAAAGTTGGGGAGGAGAGAAGAAACCCCCCCCCAAATAAGAGCATTACAAAAATTTTAAAACAGTGGGGGGATTAAAGACCAGCCTATTTGGATATTGGAGTAATATTCCATAGCAGGAGACAAAATCAAGGAGACTTGCCCATTTCGAACAATGTACAATTCATACAAGTAGATCTTGCTTACAGTCAGAAAGCTTTACATAAACCCTGATGCAGGATTATTCAACCTTGGCAACTTTTTAAGGTGGGTGGACTTCAACTCCCAGAATTCTCCATGGCTGGCTGGGGAATTCTGGGAGTTGAAGTCCACCCACCTTCAAAAATTGCCAAGGCTGAGAAGCATTACCCTAATAGGAGAACAACTGATGATTGATGGAGGCAGCGCTCATGGGACGGAGTGCCAGTCCCCCAGGGTTTAAATCGGGGATATCAAAACTCGATTTCATTGAGGGCCACATCAGAGTTGTGTTTGACCACGTGGGGGGGGAGCGGGGGGAGCGTGGCCAGCTCAACATCACCCCTGTCGGGGGCACCTGTGGTGGTTTGAGCGCTCTGCGGGTGAAAACGGGTTCCCGAGCTCCGTTTTCGGCTACCATGGCCTCCTGCAACCCTCTGCCAGTGAAAACGGAACTCGGGACCATTTTCACTGGCAGAGGGTTGCGGGGGCAGCCAAAAACGGAGTTTGGGAGCCCGTTTTTCACTGGCAGAAGCACTGTGGGCCAGTCCTTCACTGTTTCCAGGGCGGCCCCATGGGCCAGATCTAAGTACCCTGCAGGCTGGATCTGGCCCCCGGGCCTTGAGTTTGACACCCCTGGTTTAAATATTCAAGTGTGCATTTCACAATTTCTGAAAGCACGGCAACGTCTTTATGACAATGTGCCCTTTTAGAGTACCCAAGCTAACGGAAGAAGCCCGTGAGAAAGGCAGGCGTTGCTTGTTACCTGTATTAGTTTTTTTTTAAAAAAAAAGAAACAAGAGAGAAAAAATATCATTTCCTACCGCTGAAGACAGCATCAGATTATAGAGCCCTATACAAGTGTCACATACAGGGTGATATTTGACATCAGGGGTCAGCAATCCTTCCAGATTCCCATAAAATAACTGCCCATAAAATAATTATAATTTTTTTAAAAAAGAAAATGATCCTCAACCCTCAAAACATCAAGGAATCAACATCTTCTGTGACGTCTCGCAAGAATACGGAAATTTCATGAGATGTAACAGCCTTGCAAAGCATCGGCTTTTGGAGACATTTAATTTTCTTCTAAGCCAGTGGTAGTCAACCTGGCCCCTACCACCTACAAGTGGGCGTTCTAGCTTTCGTGGTGGGCGGTAGGGGTTTTGTCCCCTACTTTATAAATCACCACTACTGTGGAACCGGTGGGTGGTTACAGAAAATTTTACTACTAACAGAGATACAAAAGTGGGCGGTAGCTATAAAAAGGTTGACTACCCCTGTTCTAAACCAGGGTTATTTTCAGGTGTACTGACAGAAGAGAATATTTATAGCTCAGGGTAGAGCTACGGGGTCCTTGATGATCTCTGAGCTTGGCTGCTTTCTTGCAGACGTTTCCTTACCCTAATAGGTCACCTCATCAGTGCTAGAAGTGGTTAACCCCCACTCTCTCCGGCACTGATGATGTTGCCTAGTTCGGTGGTGAAAGTCTTCAAGAAAACCACCAAGCTCAGAGAGCCCCAAGGACGTCACGTTTTCAGGCGCACTTTACGTACACGAGTGATGGAAAGCGATCACTGACTTTGCCTCTGTAACAAGAGTTGTAGTGGCAGAGGGGTTAGAAATCTATAAAGCAAACTCACTCTGCCGACTGCATGGAGTTCGATCCTGAACGGCTCAAGGTTGACTCAGCTTTCCATCCTTCCGAGGTCGGCAAAATGAGAAGCCAGATTATTGGGGGGCAATAGGCTGATTCTGCAAACCGCTTAGAGAGGACTGTGAAGCACTATGAAGTGGTATATAGGTCTAAGTGCTATATTAATCCAGCCTGGGCACTCCCAGTTGTTTTCAACTCAATTCTATTCACATTCACACTAACTTAAGGATAGGAAGGCCTAAGCCACAATCTGGACAAACCAAGATTGGGGAGAGACCCTTGGATTGTTATATATGGCTTAAGTTGCAAATGAAAGAATTTGGCAGGGTACAATTTCTGTGACAGAATCACACATACACACACACACACCCCTCGTGTGCACTAAACACTCGGAATAAAAATGCAAAAGAATGGCTTGTGCAGTGAATTTCTTGGAAGGAAATAAGCATGAACTGGCTGGCTGGGGAATTCTGGGAATTGAAGCCCACAAGTCTTAAAAGTTGGGAGATCTCTGGTCTAAAGGAACCTCTGTCCTACAGACGTCAACTTTAAAAAAAAAATGATTTCACTTCGCAAGGAATCCCAGCTGCCTTCATGAGGCAAAACTGGTGAGGAATTTTGCCTCACGTGAGGTAAAATTCTTTCACGGAGACATTTCCCCGCCTCTTCTACAGAATTTTAGGACACTTAAAACTGTTTTACAACTGGATTCAGCCAGGTGCGGCCAACGCAAAGCTGATGACTTACAAAAAAACAACAACACATTTTTGCAGAGCGGCAAATTTCAAAGCTTTACCTTTTCCCCAGAACCATTGGAGAGGAAAAAATATGGATTCCCCCACTTCAGAAGTTGTTTACTGTATCTATCTACCATCTACCTACCTGGTATGAACTTTTAGTTGGCTGAGTGTGTCAATTCCTGGACCTCCTAACTTACAAAGAAAAAAAAAATCCAGAATTTTATGCTTCTTCCCAAACCTCATGCTCTTCAGATGTGTTGTAACTACAACGCCCATAATTCAGAGTTAGCAAGGAAATGAGGTTAGGGAAGGCTTTAGCCGGGTTTAGGTATGAAGTGCTAAGTGGTTAATGGATGGCTTATGTTACTGTAGGACAGTGTTGTTGATTTTTAAAAAAAAACTTTGGCAACTTTTAAGATGAGTGGACTTCAAGTCCCAGAATTCCCCAGCCAGCATGGCTAGCTGAGGAATTCTGGGACTTGAAGTCTACCCATCTTAAAAGTTGTCAAGGTTGAGATACACTACTGTAGGGCAAACAGGAGGAAAAATGCTGCCTAAATAGGTTTATTTACGGAACAGGTTCACTGCAAGTAGTACAAGAGATAGTCTTGTACTAGCCCCGAGCTACTAGCTTTCCACTTCCAGGGAGTTAAGTGCAAAACTGTTAAAAGTTCATTTTTCCCTCTCTTGTAACAGAGCCACACCTTCCTGATGTGCCTAGAACGGCTTTCTTGGAAAAGAGTTGTGTTCAGGCGTATGTTTTCCTGCAATCTCTCTTCACCGGGGTGCCCGTCTGGAAAGCTGCCTTTCATTCCAGCCACCTTGGACCTGGATGTTCCCACGTTCATTGGGATGTCCTCCCAAATCACCCTCGTTTCATCCGAAGGGAGAAAAAGCTCGCACTTCTAATCTAGCTATCGAATAAATAATAAAAACCTAGTCAGCTGAGCTTGCTCTCTAAAGCAAATGTGAAACGAGATAGGGATCGAATTGGTTGCTCAAGGTCCAACGTGACCAAACCAGTTTTCCTCCGTTAATGTCCCCTCTGGTATTTTTTGCTTCTGTGCCACTATTTTTTGATGCAAGGCAAAAAAATATATATCCTGGCTCTGTGCTCAGGTAGGCTGACTCAAGCCCTATCTGAAGGCCAGCCACCGGTCCCAGAGTATTTCACATGCATCCACTAGGATTTAGTGAGGTAAAAGTTCTCTACGGCTCAAATCCATTAAAAAGTTGAGCACAGTTCATTTAAAAAAACCCCTCTGTGAAACCAAAGTCTCTTCGGAGAGACAGCAAGGGGACCCGTGGACCCCAAAAAAGAGCCTCAAAGACGCAGGGTTCCTCTGCTACAGATCCAACTTTCCAGTTGACCAGGAACTGCATTTTAGGCCCTGGGTAGCAAAGGACGATACTAAAACTTCAGGCATTCTCTTTCGTTTTCGGATCCACCTGATTCCGGTCCCCTCTCTGCGTTTCCAGTTTCCCTCCAAAAGGGTCTGAAACGGGCCCGGTTTGGCAACAGGAACCAAAACTGCGATGGCCATCTCACATCTGAGGGGGAGGCATTCAGCAGCCCAGTCACCTCCTGTCGACAAAACCGGCCCTCCGTCGGCCGCAGCACAGTCCCTTTTGCGGGGTCTGAAGAGGAAGCTGGCTGTACGCCCGTCAAAAAAAAGCAGAACACCCAAGGCCCAGCCGGCCTCGCCCGTTCACATCTTAGCATCGTCACTTTGTCCCGCTCCTTCGGCCGTTTCCAGATCAGCCTCTTCCGACGCCTGCACGAGATCCGACATCAGGCTCAGGTTCACGCACTCGGGACACTTCTCCGTGGACTCCGCGGCTGAGGAGAAAATCTTCCCACAGTCGGCACAGATGAACGAGTTGAGGCCAAAGTGACCGCGCTGGTGGCGGAGGAGGGCGGCCTTGGCTTTGAAGCAGCTGCCGCACTCCGAGCAGACGTAGGGCTTCTCGCCGGTGTGGGTCCGCTCGTGGGCAATGAGCTGCGAGCTCTCCCGGAAGCCTTTGCCGCAGCCCAGGCACAGGTAGGGCCGCTCGCCGGTGTGGGAGCGCTCGTGCGCCACCAAGCTGGAGCGCTGGATGAAGCCCTTCCCGCACTGTGGGCAGACGAAGGGCTTCTCGCCCGTGTGGGTCCGCTCGTGTTTGCTGAGGCTGGACCGGACGCTGAAGCTCTTGGCGCAGTAGAGGCACTGGTAGGGCTTCTCGCCGGTGTGCGTCCGCTCGTGGGCGATGAGCTCCGAGCTCCAGTTGAAGCCCTTGCCGCACTCCAGGCACTTGTGGGGCTTCTCGCCCGTGTGGGTCCGGATGTGCGCCATGAGGTGAGAGTTTTGGCTGAAGCTCTTCCCGCACTCGGAGCAGGTGTAGGGCTTCTCCCCCGTGTGGATGCTCTGGTGGCGGATGAGGTCGGCGCTCAGGCTGAAGCCCTTGCCGCACTCCAGGCACTTGTAGGGCTTCTCCCCACGGTGGCTCTTCTCGTGGAGGACCAGGGTGGCCTTTTGGCTGAAGCTCTTCCCGCACTCCAGGCAGGAGTAGGGCTTCTCGCCCGTGTGGCTCCGCTCGTGGATGATGAGGCTGGACCGCTGGTTATAGCTCTTCTCGCACAGCAGGCACTTGTAGGGCTTCTCCCCCGTGTGCGTCCGCTCGTGCAGCTGGAGGTGGGAGCTCTGGCTGAAGCGCTTGTCGCAGTGCGAGCACTTGAATGGCTTCTCCCCCGTGTGCGTCCGGCCGTGGGTGTTCAGGGTGGAGCGTTTGCCGAAGCTCTTCCCGCACTCGTTGCACTTGTAGGGCTTCTCCGCTGTGTGGGTCTGCTTGTGCAGCTGGAGGTGGGAGCTCTGGCTGAAGCGCTTGTCGCAGTGCGAGCACTGGAAGGGCTTCTCCCCCGTGTGCGTCCGGCCGTGGGTGTTCAGGGTGGCGCGCTTGCCGAAGCTTTTCCCGCACTCGTTGCACTCGTAGGGTTTCTCCCCCAGTAGCGGCTTCTCCTGAGTTCGGAGCTCCACCACGCCGGAGCTCAGGCCTGACCCAAACGTTTTGGAGAGCTCCTGGCCTTTCCTCTGAAGGAAGCTCTGCTGGACCGCAAACTCGCTGAAGTCGAAGAAGCCCCCGCCGAACGGGATCGAGATTGGAGCTCTGGCCTCCAGCAGACAATCCACCGTCCTCGAGGGACTGTCCAGGGCCGCCAATTGGCCCCCAACGCTGGGGGTAAAGCTGACTTCATCTCCGCCCCACATCATCCTGTTCAGCTGCAGTCCCTCCGAGCCCCCAGGCAAACAATCACGTTCCTTATTTTGGTTCCTCCATCCAGCTGCAGAAAAACAAGAGAACGGAGATGTCAACTCATAAAACATTTCTATGGTCTTTTCAGAATTGCCAACAGAAAGGGAGGGGACGAGCCGTGCAGCAGCTTCCAGAACCAAAAGCGCATTCCATAAATAGTTTTCAAAGATAGTAACTAAGTGACCGAAGTTTGTGCCGCGCAAAATTCTAATCGGAGAACATGATTATGACTCTGGGCTAGGGATGTGTCCCATTGGAGAATGTGAATTACGATACACCCAGGGGGTGGGGGGAAAACCAGGGTCAAGGGTGACAATGAATGACGGGTCTCAAAGTCGGCTACACCCAGGCAGCGCCGGACATGTTAACTCCCAATAAATCCTTTTGAAGTTTTGGAAGTTTGGCTCGAGAATCATGATTTCAATGGGGTTAAGTGCCAGAATCCTGACAGAAGTCAAAAAGTTCCTGACCAAGTCAAAGAAACAGGGGAGAGACCAGTTAAAGAAACATGGCCAGCTGAGGAATTCTAGGAACTGGTCCTTACTGTCAGGATTCCGACGATTGCCCTTATTAAATCATGAGCCTCGAGCCAGGTTTCAAAAGAAACCAAAAGATTTATTAGGAGCAACTTGACCGGCATTAACCTGTATGAAGCCAACTCTGAGACACGTAATTTACTATCACCTATGACTCTGTTTCTCTCACCCCACTAGATGTATTATATATCAGATTCTCCAAACAAAACACATTCATGGGCTGGGTGTCATCAATCACGCTCTCCAATGAAAAATTTCACGGGCAGAAGACTCAGTTAGCCTAGGCTACAATCTCCACAAGATAAGCATGGAATGTGCTCCGTCAGGCCTTCCCACCCCCCCTTCTTATGGTAACTCGGTAACTGGCATAGGAATGATTTACGAGTTGACACTTGCCTCTTAGAGCTGCCAAGTTGAGAAACACTGAATTCGGTGTGGCGGAACAGAGCCAATTTAGGTGTTTTTTTTTTGTTAAAGACACAGGGATAGAAATCAGAAGACTGCGAGTTTTAGTCTTGCTTAGCTGGTTTGAATGACTTTTGAGCCAATCCCTCCCTCTCAGCCTTAATGGAGGAGGAGGAGGCTGAAGGCAAACCTTCCCCCAAAATGTGGCCAAGAACACTGCAGGGACTTGGGCAGATAGCGGTCAAGATTCAAGACTGACTAAAAATCAGGAAAATCCAAACCAGAACAGAACAGCTGACTGGGCCAAGGGAGTGACTAAGAACCCACTGGAAGCCAAAGCATCACCCGAGCCTCCTGGGACCATATTATGCCCTGCAAACTCTGCACATCAACTAAAGGAGCCTGACCTTTGAGCCGCAGGATCATTTCTTGGAAAACGGTGCTGTTCTGACACAAATTTCCGTATCTTTGCTTGATCTCCTCTAGTCTCCCAGCCAGCGGCTCGTCTTCTTCTCTGAGAAACCCAAGGAGAGAAAGGAAAAAAAAAAGGAATTGACACAATTGACCCCGAAACAAAGAAAAGAACACGAAGCACCAATTTAAATGACTCTCATTCCTAAGAGTTCTTGGTGTTCTGTGAGCTTGAGGGTTTACCTGCAGACATTTTGTTACCCGACTCGGTTAACAGTATCAGTGTGAGGGAAAGTGGGATTTGCTGCCTTTTACAGCAGTGGTCCCCAACCTTTTTTGTGCCGCGGCCCAGTACCGGCATCACAAAATCATCCGCGGCCCGGTACCGGCATCAGCACGCATGGCAAGGCAAACCGAGCGACCGGCCAGCCAGCTGTCCCCCGCTTCTCCCCGCCACCTTCAACTCTTCCTTTGTACCTGAGTCGATGGGCTTTGCGACGGCTTCGGGACAGTCGCTCGGCTCGCCTTGCCATGCATGCTGAAAGAATCCTCGCGCCTTAGTTTTGTTCGAAGCCGCCCCCCCCCCTCGATGAAACTAAGGCGCGAGGATTCTTTCAGCACCCAAACGCCGCTTTCTACCCAGAAAAGCTCACCGGAAGCACTTTTTCATCAAAACAAGATGGCGGCGCCCAGCAAACCAGCGGCCCAGTAGAAATTGTTCCACGGACCGGTGGTTGGGGACCCCTGTTTTACAGGCAATAGCTTGTCCTGCCATTTTGGGCTAGGGGTATACATGTACGACTGCAATTGAGCCCAACATTTCTGTTGCTAAGTGAGACTGTCAACTCTGAAGCTGGCATGACTGAGGCCATCTTGGAGGAGGCTTCAGTGTTGCCACAATGGTGATGTCAACTCATAAAATATTTCTACGGTCCTTTTAGAGTTGCCAACAGAAAGGGAGGGGGGGGGAAGGGGTTTGAAAGAGCAGTGTGGCAGCTTGGAAATCAAAAGTGCATTCCATAAATAGTTTTTCAAAGATAGTAACTACGTGACTGAAGTTTCTGATGCGCAAAAATCTACCTGGAGTGCATGATTAGTGACTCTTGGCTATGGAAGTGTCCCATTGGAGAATTACGATACGCCCAGGGGGTGGGGGGAAAACCGGGGTCAAGGGTGACAATGAATTATGTGTTTCGGAGTCGGCTACACCCAGGCAATGCCGGATATTTTAACTCCCAATAAATCCTTTTGAAGTTTTGGAAGTTTGGCTCGAGGCTCATGATTTAATTGGGTGCCTGCCGGAATCCTGACAGGTGATGAGGGATAGAGAGGTGAGAATAGAGATAGATGAGGTTTTGTAGCCAAAACAAAACAGTTTCCCCTGAGAACCAAGGACATTCCCGCAGGTAGCTGAAAAGAGGAGTGAAGTTTCCAAGCAACCGGACAGCACCTTGATTGGACCATGCGACTGATTGTTTGGGAAAGGGGGAAAAAACTTTGAATTAGGTGAAAACCGCAGGAACCTTTAGAGTCGGTGTCAGGATTCCGGCAGTTACTCCAATTAAATCATGAGCCTCGAGCCACACTCCCAAAACTAAAGAGCATCTATTTGAAGTTAAGATTCTACGTCCGGCACTAACCTGGGCCTAGCCAACTCTGAGATATGTAATTCACTGCCATCCTTGATCCTGCTTTCCCCCACCACCCGTCTGGGTGTATCATCCAACGAAACACATCCATAGCCAAGAGTCATCAATCATGCTCTCCAATTAGATTTTTTTCACAGCAGAAGCTTCAGTCATCTAATCAGGGTTTGAAGAAAATATGAATGGAATGTACTTTCGATTCCACACTGCCGCCTGCTCTTTGAAACTCCCCCCCCCTTCTTTCTGTTGACAACTATAAAACGTGTCTACAAAATGTTTTATTAGTTGACAGGCGGTTTTCACCGGTCTGTGCCAGTATGATACGTCCAATAAACCCCTACTTTGAGGAATCTGCTTGCCTTGGGAGTTCTGTTTGCTATGACCCTATTACCTGGAACCCTGACAAGACAGCTAAGTGAGATTTCCTCCCCCCCTCATTTTAGGATCTTGTCAGAGCGGCGTGAATCCTCCCCCCCCCCATTGTTAAATTAGGAACACGGTTAAGTGGAATCTGGCTTCCCCGTTGACGTTGCTTGTCAGAAGGTCACAAAAAGGGGGCCACGTGATCCTTGGGACGCGGCAACCCTCCTAAATATGTGTCAGTTGCCAAAAGTTAGAATTTTGATCACGGGGGATGCGGCAACAGTCACAAGTGAGGAAAAAAGTCGCTTTTTTTCGGCGCTGTTGTAACTGGATGGTTTTAAGCGGAGGAATATCTGTAGTTTCCTTCTTCCTTCCTCTGCCACGAAGGAAACAACACCCCATACAAAATGGGCAAGGAAAACTATTACATATAAACAGGCCGCAAACTGTGCAACTCAGAGGTGGGTCTTCAGCAGGCTCTGACCAGTTCTGGAGAACCGGTAGCCGAAATTTGGAGTCGTTCGGAGAACCGGCAAATCCCACCTCTGACTGGAGATTTTACAGTAGCCTTCCCCTGCCACGCCCACCAAGCCACGCCCACAGAACCGGTAGTAAAAAAAAATTGAATCCCACCACTGGCACACATCCCCTTGCACAATGATGTTCCCTGGTCCAGTGGTCGCCAACCAGTGGGCTGGGGACTACTGGTAGTCCGCAAGACAATTTTGGTGGTCCGCAGAGAAATGTCACCCCCAAAGCAATTAATCCAGGCTGCGTGGGAACACAAGGCTGTGCCACCCACGTGGCCTGCGGGAACACAAGGCTTGCGTCCCTTGCATTGCGAACAACATGAGGTAGTGAGGGGATGAGGGAAAGGGCGGAGTGGGGAAACTTGCCCCACATGCCTCGCCTGGCCACCGGGCTGCTTCTTTCCGCTTCTTTCTTCTTCTGCTTTTGGCTGCATGCAAGGCAAGCAGCAAAAGTCTTTCTTTCTCTCCCCCAAACTCCGCCAGAAATGAGTCTTTGGGACCCTGCAAGGCATCCTGCTCCAAGAGGCTGCGCCAGCGCAATGAGTCTCACAAAGACTCATTTCTGGCGGAAAGAAAGAAAGACTTCTGCTGTTGCTGCTGCTTTCCTTGCACGAAGCCAAAAGTCTCTCTTTCTCTTTCTCTCTCTCTCTCTCCGTCCCCGAGAATGGAGCTGGAGACGGTATCCTGCGATCCCAAATAAAGAATGATCGATCGGTAGGAAAACGGGGTGCGGAATTTTCCTGCAGATTTTTGGGGGGATTTTCCCAGGGTCTCTAGTCCGCGGGATTTAAAATTATGAGTTTGGTGGTCCCTGAGGTCCAAAAGGTTGGTGACTCTTGCCCTAGTCTATTGAAGCCCGCATCAACCCTGGGAGGTCAAAGCACTGTATATAAAAGAGGGAGCAAACCCCCACCCTCCTTTGCACTGATGGTGTTACCTAGTCAGATAATGAGACGTCTTGCAAGCATACATCCAAACTCAAGAGAGCACCAAGGATGCCACAGTTAAACCCTGAACTACAGATATTTGCAAGGAAGGAGTGACAAGAAACTCGAAAGGGCAGGAGAGATAGACAGTATTTAAACCATTCGGGCCATGTTAAGAGAACTGGACTGTTGATCCTGCAATGGCTGATTTTAATTACTACTGCTTTTTCTACTTGCAATAAATACACTTGATGAACCCGAACATTTAACTCATCACTGCACGTTCCTAGGAAAAGATTTATTTTTTGAGCCTTGGGTGAAACTGTAGAAGAGCAGACAAAACTGGTGGTGGTGGTGGTGGGAGTAAAATGTGTCATTAGCTTAGAATCATGATGTTGCCGTAAGTGGTTCAACTCCAGCCCCTCCTTAAATTCCGTTGACTTTTATCTGGCGCAGATTCAGATTGAAGTTTAGTTGACTAGATTCTTGTGTGCAGACTGGAACAATATTTCTGAACTGCAATTTAACTTAATGGCCCCGAACCTTTGCCCCTGACAGAAATTCCGGCAGAGATGCCATGAACAAAGGTAATTTAAAAAAACCTCCAATTCTTACCTGCTCTCAATGCATCCAGACTCCTAGGGGAAAAAAGAAACATAATTATACAGACAGAAAAATCTTACTTAGGAACTTTAGCAAAACTAATGGCCGTGGAATTATTTCACTGGCACAGAATATGGCAGCACTAGCAATTTCTTTACTTTTCTTTTTAGCGTCAATGTAAATTAATTTCTTTTATGTCTTTTTAGCTTAAAAATTTCTTTACTTTTCTTTTTAGCGTTAATGTAAATTAATTTCTTTTATGTCTTTTTAGCTTAAAAATTGAACAAAACCAGTAGCAATGAAATTTAATGTAAACCTTCACAAAGATATTCCTCTTGGCCCATTTTTCTGTAACTTGGCTTCCTGTGCACAAGATGCAGCTTCAATACCATCAAGACATACCACTATCTCCCCACTGCTGTTCTCTTCCTTGCCTTCTTCTTCCTCTTCTTCTTTCACTTGACTCAGGTCAATCATGTCTGAATCAGGCTGCACCTTCCATTGAATAAAACTGTATTAATAGAAACCCCGAGAACTTTCTCCGTTTCCACTTTTCCAGCCGCCAACTGAAAAAAGCCACCGGGTTCTGCTTAAAGATATCCAGGTGACATTTTACACCCCAAAGAAATCAGTGAATTTCAGGAAAGGAAGAACTAGAGCTAGGCAAAGAAATAAAAACCTTGAACAGATTTTGACCGGAGCATCTTGCTTTCACAAGAAGAGTTCTTTCAGACTTTCTTATTCAACTTCTACTCTACTAGCTTTTAGTAGGAATGGAACGGGGGAGGGAGGGAGGGAAGGAAGGTGGAAGAGAGAAGGAAGAAAAGGGAAGGGGAAAGGAAGGGAGGGAGAGAAGGAGGGAAAGGGGAAAGGAGGGAGAAGGAAATGGTAGAAGAGAAAAGGAAGAAGAAATGGGAAAGAGAAAGGGAGGGAAGGAGGGAGGGGAAGAAAAAAAGGGGAAAAGGAAAGGAAAGGGGAGGAAGATAGAAAAGGAAAGAAGGAAATGAGAAGGAGGGAGGGAGGGGAAGAAAGAAAGAATGGGGAAAGGGAAGGGAAGAGGGAGGAAATCTATTATGCTTTATGAGAAAGGGAAGAGGCAAATGTGACATTTTAAGAAAACCTGATGCTAGAGTCTCTTTTCAATCACGGAAGCTCCCTGAGGAGAATCATCTGGCCGGGTCCTTTCCTCTCAGTCCCAGGCCCAGGATGGGGCAGTAGAGAAGGAGCCGGACATGGATTGTACAAACCCAGGCCTTGGTTCTCTCTCACATACCAAAACTCACTGACTAGTCCTTCTTGCTTAGCCCAATCTACCTCACAGGATTATTATGCATAATATGACAGGCAGAACATAAGTAAATAAAAAAAAAAACAGCCTCCATCTTGCTCCGATTAATACGACTGCAGTTTGAAATTAAACATAAAATCTGCCTGCCAACCTAGGGTAAACTTATTCTTAAAAAGTACCTTCTTGTGGTTTCTGTCTTCTTCATCCTCCTCCTTTTCCGTCACCGAGGCCTTGGCGCTTTCACCTTGTTCCAGTTTAATCCCCTGCAGCTCCTTGTTAAGAAAACAAACGGACCAAATAGGAGAAGAAGAGAGACTGTTATAACCTGAAAAGCTATCCCCAGTCAGAACAGCAGGGATATTTTGAGACTGGAAGATTTCAACCAACAACAGGCCCTTTAATGTACTGGTTCCATTGCAGAAATCCAGCACAGAAGGCCCAGAATCGCTTTGGATTATATAATTTAATAATCAAAATAATGCCAAGGTAAATCAGACTAGGAAACCAGCGCTGGGGAATTCTGGGTGTTGAAGTCCAGCCTAAAAGTTGTCAACTTTGAAAAAACACTGAGCAACTTTCAAGCCTTAACGTGCTTTTCCCTCCCTCCATCTTCTTGTGAACCAGGGATGGGGGCTTTGCTGTTTCTTCTGCCCCGTACACATAAGCTCTGGGTTTCTTCCATCCCTTTCTCAACCTCTCGACAATCTCTCCTACGCCTGGGTCCATCCGTCTATGTCAACAACAGCCAAGTGGACAGAGTCAGAAAACCCATAACCAGAATAGCAAGATTCTCAGCGTTGTTATGTTTAGTCAGTAAAAGGACAGAGGAACAGCAGAGAGAGAGAGAGAGAAAAAAATCAGTATAAAGGATTCTCCAAAATAAATCCTGATTAACCTCTCAACATTTTTTATTTACAGGGAGTCCTCAACTTAAGACCATAACTGTGCCTGGAAGTACATTACAGTACATGAATTACAGTCGTAGGTAATGTCAGCTGTTGGCCATAATGTGACCAGCCTGATTTTACGTGTTTTTTTTTTGCAGCGGTCATGAAGTGAATCCACTGTCCGCAATGCATGCTTTTTGATAGCACCAGAGGATCCTGCAAAGGGCTGTCAATGTGGGTCGGTGGCTGAATGCTTAAAATGTAATAAAAGTGAAGAAAATGTAATAAAACTGTCAGAACTTCTAAGACAGGTGTCAGCGTTCCAGCAACCCTACATTTCGCCCAATAACTCCGAGACAGACATCTTCTCAAGGGTTCGTTTTATTTTGGATATTAACTGGCAAAAACTGTGGAATCCTGAATCTGAAAGTTCCGGGCTTCTTTACAATAAGTAAAAACTACAAAATCCATCCCCTGTACCCATCGTCATGTCACATGGCCCAATCCCCATCTGTCCCAAGTTAAGACTTCCTCTCAGTTATGCGCAACACCACCTGACCTTGAATCAGAAAAAGAATGTTATTATGTGTAACTAGATATACTCCAATAAATTCCCCTTTCCCAGGCTCAAATGTGGCAGCGCAGAAGGATCGGATCTCAATATGGCTTCCAAAGCTGACAACGGGTCTTAAAAGTACCTTTTACGGGTTTCCCTTCTAACTTTGAATGATTGCTAAGTCAATGGTTGTAAGTTGAGGACTACCTGTATTCAAAGAACCTATGGACAAATATGAAATAAGATTGAATTTCCAGAATGAATTTGAGCATCTGGAATAAAATGAAATTTATTTCATTTAAGAGGTATTTAACTCCAAGACTGACTTCTAGTTTGAGAAAAGAAAAGGAAAAAAAACCCCTCTTCTCTTTTTCTTTTCATCGTATTATTTTAAGAGTGTTTATAGCTTACTGTCAACTCAAAAATATTTCTCTGGTTTTTTAGAGTTGCCAGTAGAAAGAGAGTGGGGGAAAGGAGTGCACTCATTAAATGCTTTCATGGATAATTGCTAGGCTGCCGAAGCATGCAAGATTATTACTGGAGAGCATGATTGATGACTCTTGGCTATGGATGGCTCCCATTGGAGAATATACATCCAGAGGGTGGGGGAAGAACAGGGTCAAGGGTGAGATGAATAATGTGTCTCAGAGTCAGCTGCACCCAGGTAGTGCTGGCATGTTCACTCCTAATAATTTTTATTTTTTTTTAACTGAGAGATGCGGCTGATGTGGAGACAGTAACTTCGTCCTCAACACCAATAAGACCAAGGAGCTTATAGTGGATTATAGAAGGAACAGGTCAGACATCCAGCCCTTGCTTATCAATGGAGACCGAGTGGAGCAAGTGGCCAGTTTTAAGTTTCTGGGTGTTACCCTAAAAGAGGACCTGACCTGGGGTGCTCACATTGCAGCCCTGGTCAAAAGGGCCCAGCAGAGATTATACTACCTGAGGCTTCTCAGAAAACAACAACCGAATGAAAAACTGCTGGTGACCTTCTACTGCTGCACCATAGAAAGTATCTTAATTTACTGCACCTCTGTTTGGTTTGCCAATTGGAAATAGGAGAGCACTCCAGAGGGTTAAGGTCATTGCCCATATGATCACGGGTTGCCCTCTCCCCTCTTTGGAAGAGCTTTATAGCTCCCGCTGCCTTAAGAAAGCTCAAAACATTCTCAAAGATCCATCTCATCCTGGGAACCCCTTTTTTTGAACTATTACCATCTGGCAGACGGTACAGAATATTAAAAACAAGGACAAACAGGCTGAAAAACAGATTCTATCCCAGGGCAGTAACTCTATTGAATTCTACTGTATAGTGCAGTGTTGGGGCGGTGTGAAGAGTGAAGGATGTGCGTTTGTGTTTATTTTCCTGGTCATGATGTGCACTGAAGATGGTGCTTGATTTTGTTGTACGAGGTGCAAGGACAATAAAGTAAACTAAACTAAACTAGACTTATGATTTGAATGGGGGGGTGGATGCCGGAGCCTTGACAGCTACTGATGAATTTCTTCGACAGGGACACCCTTCAAGATTTTCAAGTGGTTAATTTAGGAAAAATGGATTTCATTTGCCACAATCCCAGGTATTCATCAACTTCCTTTAATGACCCCATAATCCCTTGCAGAGTGGGCAACTGAGTGGAGAGCTAGCAGAGGGTTTAATGACTGGATGCCCTTTTGTTCAGCAGATATAATCTCATTGTGCCAAGAGAAAGGACCATCTGCTTCTACCTAGGATCAAATTCACAGCCTTCTGATTATGGGGCGAGAGTTCCTCCTTTAGGCCACCACTCTAATCCCAGGTATTATTGTTATTATTATTACTGTATCTTTTGGAAGATAATGGACACCGAGCTGGCCGTCCTTGAGTGAGGAGGAGTGCTGCCTTGGTCCCTTGGTAGCATCTCGTAAGGGCCTGTCAGGCCCTTGTTAGAGTCGCACTCTGAGGGAGAGGAGGAACAGCTGACAGGGAGTGGAAATGTGGCTCCGGAGATTGTGGAGGAGGCAGGGGAAGGGCAGAGATTGCTGGGCAGTCAGAGGAGGACCCAGGCCCATCCCCTCTCCATCCTAGGGCATGCAGGGAGGAGAAGAGAAGGGAGAGACGTGATCTCCTCAGGAGAAGAGGGTCTTGATCCTCTTCATGGGCTGCAGCCGTGACAACTGGGTAAGAGGACGGACGTGCGTACAGGCAAATGCTCAAGACAAAGAGTGGTTTTTCCTGGACGAGGTTTATCTTGGTTGGCGTTCTCGGGTTATCTTCTTGAAGTCTGTAATTAATTATCCTGGTCTGTCATGGAACTTTCTTCAGTGCGGTTTGTTTTTGGGTTTTTGCTTCGTGATCGGCTCTTTGATTCTGAACTGTAGTTCTTTCGTTTGGAATGTTATTCTGAAAACTGTGAACAATTGAACAGTTGAAGCCAAGTTGAAGGCATTAAAGGACTTTTATTTACGTTTTGGTTTTTGTTATATTCGTGGTACGCTCCGGGTCATCAAGGGCCCCTTATCCAGGGTTACAGGAGACGATGGTCAACAGTTTTGAAGGAGGAAGAGAGCTTTACCCCCCAACGGCAGATAAAACGGTAGAACCATCTTCTAGGAGAAGGGAAACACTGATTTCAAACCTCCACTGCCTTATCTATTTTTGGAAAAGGCTTCAGGAGTCAACCTCAAGGCAAAATCCGGAGCCAGAGTCCTGGAAGCAGTTCGTGACAGTGTACCGGTCCGTGGATCATTTTTTACCGGGCTGCAAAGCTTGGGCGCCGCCATCTTGTTTCGACGGCGCTTCCGGGTTTTCGGTTGCTTCCGGATTTTCAGTTGGAAAGCGGCGTTTGGGTGCTCGCGCTTTAGTTTCGTCGAAGGTGGGGGGGTGGGCTTCGAATGAAGAGCCGTCCCGATGGCGGTGGAGTCTCGCGTTACTCAGGTACCGGTCCATGGAAAAATAAATAATCGTGAAACCGGTCCCTGGTTCAAAAAAGGTTTGGGGCCACTGCAATAAACTGTTTTCAGTGACACGGAGAGGGGGAAATCTGCTGCTTGGGTAACAGTTCATCCTCCATATTAAATTACCCAGGCCTCGTGCTGTGGAGAGGACGCTGCAGCTTTGCACACAACATGGAAACAACACAGGAAGTGGCAGTTACCGGTTTCATAGCACGGTACCACAGTCTCTTGAGACTGAAGGATGCCAATTCCAATTACTGTATCTTACATCGTCGATAGAACAAAATGCTTCATAATTTTCTTTGCTTCCCCTTTTGAGTCAATTTTAGAGTTATTATTTGATCCAAGTGCAATCTGGCAGGTCTTGGGAACACAAGGAATTTGTCTCACTATACATAAAAGATACATTCATCAAGAGTCGAGAATCATAAGGTACGACACTTAATGCTGTAAGGTCTATCAGGAAAATATCACTGATCACTTATACTTCCAATTCCTTTGTCCACAACAACAACAAAATTTATACTGAAGAGTAAATGAAAAAAAAAAAGCGCCCAGTAATTATTTTTCTGCAAGGGGAGAGGAGCTTCAACGCCACATATCTTTACTTAGTTTTGTATCATGCTCTGCCAGCTTCATACATGGAGCTGTTCCATCACTCTGGTACGTGCCAAGGAATTTGAAAAATGCAGCCGGAGCCTCCAGAAGCAGGTCTAGGATAACTTCCGCGTGGCCAATTCGCTGGGGACAACTTGCCACAGGAGAAGAGTTATACTAATACCAAAGAAAGGGTGGAATAGAATAATTAAAGGATGCCAAAGGACGGCCAGAATGAAATGGGAACGACAAAAATTCAAATAATTTTTTAATTATTTCAAATACTTTAAAAATTGAATCGTTAAAATGGTCCCGTGGCGAGTTGGCCGTGGAATATTAGCTGCACCAAATTGTCCCAATCTATCCAGAGGCCCCTAAGACAATTCTTCTGAATGTTATCTCTGGAACTTTTGTAGTCATCACTTCCTAAAGTGGACCACACAACGGTGCAGGGTGTGTGTGTATGTGTGTGTGTATGTGAGAGACAGAGACAGAGAGAGAGAGCGCACAGAAGGGAAACGGGAATGTGATTCCTACCTGTAAATCATCCCTGGTAGATGTGGAGTCCTCATTTCTGTTGTCTTCTATTATCTTTTTCTCGTTGTCTTTCACCTCCTGACTATCACGTCCCTCGTTCTCTCTTTCTTTAAGGTTTACGAGACTGTCCTAAAGAAAGGAAAAAATAAATAAATCCCAGGGAGATTGCAAGAAATATTCCAGTTTTTGTAAGCTTTACATTTGTAGGTTTTGGATTTAGCTCTAAGTGGTGCTTCTTTTTTTCTTCTAACACTTCTATCTATGGCTTATTCTACAATTCTTTTCCCTTTTCAAATTGCTTGCATTGAGTGAAGGATGCCGCTTTGAATTTTGTTTTCCCAGCACAGCTATTTTTAATTTGACTGTTCTAATAAATAACATATATACTTCTGTTCAGCTGAATAAAACCAAATACAACCATTGCTGGCATTGTGGACACCTATAATGAGTTCTGTTTGGAACTGCTTCATACAAGCTGCAAATCCAACCATTAGGCCACATAAACCATGGTTTATGGCCTTGTGCACACTCAAGCCATTGTGATTCATTCAGTAAAATTCATCTTGAGCATGTGATCATCCAATCAATCCCAATTTTCATCCAGTTTTGGCCAGTTTTCCCCTTAAATTGACATCTCACTGGGATCAAAGATTGTCTTCAGGCATTGCGGATCTGTGTCTCTTTTCCAAAATGAAGTGGATACAAAAGATTAGAAGACTACCCTACCACAATTTAGTCTTTTGCTCTTTCCAAGATTGGGGGCAGAGAAGAATCTGGGATGTAAAAAGCTGCACCGGACTCTAAAGCTATGTGGGAAGGAGGCCGTGCCTGGTATTACTTAAAATGAGTAGCACAAAGAAAAATACTATTTGTTGGCAAGGCCCATTCTAGACACATTTTGATGTGACAACAATCTCACTTCTGAATTTTTCATCCAAGATCCTTGTCGCACCCTTCTTCACCAAGAGACAAATTTTCTGAGCTGGAAATTTTTAAAAAGGCACAGATTCATTAAAAGACAGCATTTCCCAATCTTGGCATCTTATAGTTGCCAAGGTTGAGATAAGCTGTTTAAAAAGCAGACAATAGACATAGAGATGCCCACACTGGACCCAAACTATCTTTGTCCATTTCAGATCAGATCAGCCGACAGTTCCTCTTTTGCCCCCCTGCCAATTTCTGTGATTGTAATTAAGGCTTTAATGCCTCAAGGATCTTGTCTGCAATATCTCAGACTGCCATTAGAGGGCAGCAAAGAGACAGACAATATTCCCAGCTGCTGCCTAGTGGTTTCCTTGTGTGTCTGCAGCCCAGATCTGGTGGCCTAATTTAAACAGAAAATTTGGTGCCTAAATCTCCAATCATCTGAAAGCAAAGCCGGCTATCTTTGCCATAGATCTAACCGTCACATCACAAATTAATAGTTAATTTCTACAGAAAAGATATTTATGTACATATACACAAACACACACACACACACTTTTGTCTTAAGGGATCAGGGATCTTCCCTCCACTGATCAGGATCCCTTCCTTCTTCCCAAATTCTTACTTGCATTTTGTCCTCCCCAGTCTTGTCGACTCCAACATTCATGGTAAAACTGTTTCGATCTTCCACAAAAAATGAGGCGACTGGAAAAGAAAGGAAGGGAGAGAAAAAAGCAGTCAGGAGAGATGTTTGAAGGGGTGGATTAAAAAAAAAAAAGGAACGGAAAAGAAGAAAGTGACAAAAGTAATTGTCCCACTTTGACTAACAGAATATTTGCAAAATAATATATAATACAATACAATATAGTAATATATTCTAATATATGCAATATGTAATATAATGTCACATATTCTAACACATTATAATTAATAATATAAAACGTAACATCAATATAATATCTTTTTTTTAAAAAGGAAAAATGGTGCTGCTCCTCTGAGCTTTTCCATCAAGTTGACCACACCAATCAGCAAAGGCGGATAAGTGGCACTTCGACTTGCCATTCTGGAAGGTTTTTTTTTTTAAAAAAGAGCGCCTCTGAGCATACGCAGAGTGCTATATTCCTCCCTTTAACAGAGGGCAGCCCAGCTCCTCGCCCAGGAGAAAAAGAAAACGAACGTAAAAAGCAGCAGCTATAGGATTTTTTTTTCCTTAAATATTTTTTTGTGGGGGAGGGAAAAAGCGTCTTGCACCAAAAATGTGCAGAAAGTATTTTCCCCCCTCCTGTATCCAAACACCCACCCGATGAAACAAACGCCCGTCTTTCTTCTTTCTTCCCCCCAGTCGATAATGGAGACCGAAACGGGGAGGGGGCAAAAAAAAGAAAAAGAAAAAAGGGCCGTCCCAGCAAAGGAAGGCGATGCAAGAAAGCAAAAGACGAGATCCCTTCCGAGCATGTGCAAAGCGCACTTCCTTCCCGCAATATCACGCGCGGCTCCCCTTTTCCTTTCTTCGAGCGCAAAAGACAAGGGAAGCGGCCCCGATTCGGGGATGGGGGAAGGAAAAAAAAAGGCGGCCTCTGAGCATGTGCAAAGTCCCTCTCTGCGCTCTTCACCTCCGGGCGTGGTTTTCCCAGGCCGGGAAGGCCTTTCCTTTCAAGAAAGGCGGGCGTGAGGGACGGCGGGGCAAGGCGAAGCCGGGAGAGAAAGCGAGGGGAAAGGTCGCCCCTCGAGGCAGCTCCTCGGCCCGGCCCTCGCCATTCCTTCGGGGGGGGGCTTCGGGGTGGGGGGGAACGTCTACATTGCAAACTTGAGACCGAGTCGGACGCTTCATTGGCTTCCCCCCATCTCCCGGAGAACTCTGGGAGTTGTAGTTCGCCTCCGCCGAGAGGGCTCCTCGGGCGGGCGGTATTTCGGGCCCTTCGCGGACTCCGTTTCCCAGGGTCCCTCGCGTGCGCGAAAGGGGCTCGCGGCTGACAATGGCCCGCCGCGAGCGGCTGCCGCAGAGAAGCCGAGCTTGGCTCGCAAAGCAAAGAAGTCGCGTTTTCTTCGCTGGGCGATCCGGGCGCCGATGCCGCGAAGGGGAGCGCCGGAGCCCGGATCGACGGCCGAATTAAGATCGCGCGCCGTTCAAACTTTGCCGCGAGGTTAGCTTTTTTTTTTCCCCCTACAAGTAAAGGACTTTGCAGCGTGTCCACACCGTTGGCAGGGATGCCAGGACAAGGGAGTCCTCCACTTGCAAGCAATTCGCTTAGTGACCGTTTGGAAGTGACAAGGGCACCGATAAAAAGTGCCTTTGGGGACCGCTTTTTCCCCCCCACACTTAACGATCGTGGCGGGAATCCTCGTGATCACATGATCAAAAGTCAAGCGGTTCGTATTTATGACGGTTTCAGTTTCCCCGGGACCTTCCGACAAGCAAAGTCAGTGTGGAAGCCAGATTCACTTAACAACGATGTGACTAATTTAACAAATGCAACGGTTCGTTTAGCAACGGTGGCTAGAAAAGTCGTGAAGTGGGGGGCAAAAACTCGCTTAAGAAATGTTGCACTTAGCCACAGAAATGTTGGCCTCAGTTGTGGTCGTTACTACCCTGTACTCTCTTCTGTAGATAATCCTCAACTTACAACCGCAATTGGGATGAGGACTACCTTCGGAAGAAGTATGGCTGCTTTCTCACCCCAGCACAGAGTTCCAACCCCCGGGGGGGGGGACAGCCTTTGTCGGTCAGTAGAAGTGGGTCAGGAGAGAGGCTGGTGAGGAAGGGTTAACAAAATCCTCCCCCCCCCTTCCTTGCAAATCCCCCCCCCCACTTCCTTGCAATGTTGGGCCCTGTCTCTGCTAGGTCTATGGAGCAGGCAGAGGTTCAACCGATGTATATGGTCACCCCAACACCTGGAAGTGAGCTCTTTGGCTTCCTTAGTGAAATAGGAAACTTTCAACATCAACTTACTGTATTTTATTATATTGTACGTTACATTGTAAGCTGCCCAATTCATTCTAGGATACGGTCAGTTACTGTATACATATGGTGTAAGTGCATTTGTCTCGAACAGGGGTAGGGAAACTTGGCTCTTTTATCACTTACAGACTTCAACTCCCAGAATTCCTGAGTGATATATGTCCTACATTTGTATATTAAACAGTCCCATTCCAGTCAAAAATTGATTTCCCCCACAACTGAAAAACCAGTAGGCCAGGGATGGGGAACCTTTTATGGCTCACTCAGGAATTCTGGGAGTTGAAGTCCATAAGTGATAAAAGAGCCAAGTTTCCCTACCCCTGGTCTAGAAATTGCCACAAAAGGTTGCTTTTCTTACATAATATTACCAAGACACTATTTTGTACAGGATCTCCTGGTGGTCTTCCATCCCAGTACTAACAACGTCCAGTACACAAGCGATCTGACACTGACTTTCCCTTTGACTTCCCAACATAGCCTACCCTACACAGTAACACTAGGACAAGGGTCTTCAAGCTTGGCCATTTTAAGACTTGTGGACTTCAACTCCCAGAATTCCTGAGCTAACATGACTGGAGGAGGAATTCTGGCAGTTGAAGTCCACAAATCTTGGAGTTAAAGTCGCCTATCAAGCAGATATTCCTATTTTCGAAGCCTATTATTTTTTGGTGGAGATCTTTAAAAAATTTCCCTTGTTCTTCACTTGGGCATAGATTGCTACCAATAAAAATGTTATATGATTAATCCAAATTTGTATAACCAGAGTTCTTCCTTCCGGGTCCGACCAGATTAATTCTGCTTTTACATCATCTTTCACATATACTGCAAATCTTAAAGCTGTCACGTTTGAAGGCCCCTGCTCTAAGGAGGTGACGACCTATTCTCGCTAGTTTCAAGAACAGCTGAGGCAAGCTATGAAAAGTAAAGTAAGGGCCACCAGTTTTAGTGCAATTTACTCCTAGGTAAGCAGTGTAAGATTGCAGCCTGACGATAATGAAACAATTAAAACGTGGACAATTCCACTCATTAGATAAATATCTGGAATACTGGACTAGAGTCTACTAGCCCAAAAGCCCTGGGCAGGAAGCACAGAAAAATGACAACCGTTGCCCTTCATCCACCCAGCAGTGTTGACCGACTCTACTTACCAAGGGAAATAGGTGGTTGTGGAATGTTACAAGTTCACCAACAAAGGGGGGAAAAGGGAATTGGAAGAATATCTGAAGGACAGATGTACAAAACGGAGGTTGAGACTTTGGGAAAAGTGCAAAGAAGAGCCAACTAGGATAATTAAAGGAAGGCCTGGAGACTAAAACGTATGAAGAACAGTTGCAGGAATTGGGTCTGGCTAAGTCTATAGAAAAGAAGGACTGGGGTGTGTGTGACATGATAAGAGTATTTTAGTATTTGAGGGGCTCTCCAAAAGAAGAGGGGGGAGTCAATTTATTCTCCAAAGCCATAGAAAGCAGGACAAAAAAAAAACAAACGATGGATGGAAACTAATCAAGGAGAGAAGCAACCTGGAATTGAGGAGAAACTTCCAAACGGTGAGGACAATTTAACCAGTGGAACAGCTTTGCCTTCAGAAGTTGTGGGTGCTCCAACACTGGAGGTTGCTATGAAGAAACTGGACACTCACTTATCTGAAATGGTGGAGTTTTCTGATTGAGTGAAGAAGATGCACTGAAGCTAGTATACCAGGAAGGCTTATTAAGTACTGCAGAGACCAAACTAGCCTGCAAGAAAGACCAAATGAAGAACCGAAAGGAGGCACGAGAAGACAACGTGCATTTAAATAAAATGGATAAAGCAAGTTATAGCTTAGCAATGGCCAAGAGCAAGAAAGTTAAGGAAAGAGACAGAGGGACTAATTCAAGCCTTCGGAACAAATGCGTACAAAACCAGAATTGAGAAGATGGCAACAAATAGAATTGCCACCTCTGCAAAGGAGTTGAAAGAAAAAACAACAACAACAGTGGATCAACTAGCTAGGTGCTTCAAGAAAATTGCACTGAACTGACCACAAACCACAACGTGGCAAAGTAACAACAATGGCGCACTGGCCTGCGAGCAAGAACGGGTGGGACCACCAAAGAAAGAAACCGGAAATGAAGCAGCTCTGGGATGGTTTCAGAATTAATACAGAGAAACACCTGCCACCTAACACCCCAGGCTTAACAACTGTTGATAAGAACCACAAAGAGGTCTGGATAGTGGGCATGGTAGTATCTGGAGACAGCAGAATAGAAGGGGAAGAACTGGCGGGGGAAGGGGAGAATCGCAAAATGCAAAGACCCACAAATAGAAGTAGATTGACGGTGACAAAGGAAAGCCAAAATAGTATCTGTGGTAATAAGCGGGATGATAGATAAGATCACTGCACACCAGAACAACTAGACACAAGAACAGTTTTTTTCCCCAAATACCATCACTCTGCTAAACAAATAATTCCCTCAACACTGTTCAACTATTTACAAAGTGTACACTCCTATTACTGTTAATCTTCTCATCACTCCTTACCACCCATCCCCTCCGACGTGTGATTGTAGGACTGTAACTTTGTTGCTTGTATCCTTACAATTTATATTGACTGTTTCCTAGTATGATTTGATTGTTGATTGTACCCTGTGACTATCATGAAGTGTTGTACGTTACGATTCTTGATTCTTAAGAAATGTACCTTTTCTTTTATGTACACTGAGAGCATTTGCACCAAGACAAATTCCTTGTGTGTCCAACCACACTT